GTGACCTTCCCAGTGCCCAGACCCCTATAGGAAGCCACCCACATGGATCTGCAATTGCTCTTGGTCCCCTCCTGGTTTCCCTAGCAAGTGGCCCACTGGACTCAGGAATGGTTCAGATTACTGGTTCACAAGTAGCTCTAATGTCACAGCGGAAGATTCCAGATAGCCTCTGAAGGCTCTGAGCCCAAGCCTTTCCTTGTTAATGTGGGCAAAAAGAAGCCCAAGGCCTCAATAGCCCTGAGAAAGGAACAGGCCAAGGGTCAGTGGGCCCCTGAAGAGAGGTCCCTGGAAGGCCAGCAGCACAGGAGGCCACTCCCGGGCTCTGTGTTCCCCCACCCCATCAGAGCTAGTGAATCTCTGCATCCTCAGGAGGACTCAACTGGCCCTTGTTGTGTCCCTTGGCCCTTCCCTCAGCCTCAGGCCTGAGCAGGTGTCCCCCACTCACTCTGGCCGGCAGACCCCTGGACCATGGCCATTCTCACCTTGGAGACCCTCAGGGGACCGTTCTCCGTGATCCCAGACAGGTCAGCCGCGTTGCTGAAGAGCTTGGTGATGCCCAGACTTGTCAGGACAGGCTTCAGATGGATGGTTCCAGAGATGTTCACTTTGGGGAAGTACAAATCGACTCTCCTGGTATGAAGATAGGTAATGAGGGGGTTTCAGAACGTCTTGGGGGTCCAGTTGGGCCCCATGGTTCTGTGAAAGTGTTTTGTCTCCTGATTGGTTCTCTGGTCAGTGCCCTGTCCCCACCCACTGTATTGGAAAAGTCCATTGGCTGGTTTTACTTTAGCTTCCTGGACTCCTGGTGTGGACATCATTCCTACCGGTGGGCACACCTTGTCCTGTGGCCCCTGCACACCTCTGCCCCCAAGGAGCCTTTCAGGCAGTTTCAGAGTGTCCTCCTGGAAACAGATGACATCCCCCTTGGTCACACCAGCCTGCCCAGCCAGAGCTTTCCGGGGCCTGTGTCCCAGGGTACTTTGGCGAGTTTGGCAGGACTGAGGGATAGAGGCTCAGTGAGGGAGAGGATTGTCACCTCCATAACCCCACACTGCAAGCTCAGCTCCATGTCGCCAGGGATGGGGCAAGGCCCAGGAGCCTGTGCTGAAGCCACATACTGGGTCCAGGGCTAGGGGACTGTGCTGTGCCTTGTGCTCTATTTGGAACAAGGGTGAGGAGATCTCAGGAGGGCTGGGTGAGCACGTAGTGGTGACCCAGGTTCAGCCTAACCTGGACGTGTGTCACATCTGTCTGCAGTGTGACTCCGTCACCAGTGGCCATGGCTGGGCTCAGGACAGTGCACCTGCTCTGTGTCACATACCCAGCTGTGTGGCTCCTGGGATAAGTGAACCAGCCTGAGATGCAACAGAGAAACAGAGCCTGTGGGAACGTGCCCTGAGCTCCCAGCGCTGCCTGTTCCTGTTCTGGTCCTTTCCATGCAGGCACTTCCCCTGTGCACCTCGGCCGGTCCTACAGCAAGTCCTCCCTCTGGCAGCCCTAACCTGCAGGCCCAGGCCTCTGTCCTTGATTCTGCCACAACATGTGCTAGTGTCAGTGCCCCGGCGAGGCCCTGGATATTGGGAGGGGACCATGTACATTTTTGGAGGGAAATCCCCCCTCCAGCTGGATCTGTGCCCCGCTCTTTGACCACTGTCCCTTCTCAGCTGCTACCTGAGCTGAGCCCTGGCATTTCCTGTAGCACAGGGTCATTCCCTGTAGCTGTGGCCCCAGGGAT